ATTCACAAAAGTTTAATCCACAAAATACAAATATTAATTCATTATATAAATCTTAACTTGTTTTCTTGGGAAAAGTTTACACAAACAATACAATAAAAGTACAAATTCAAGAATTTCACTAAATTATTTTGTTTTGTAAATCTTTGCTAATATAGTTTGATTCGTACAAGATACACCTGTAAAATAATATAAAAGTACTCTCTACATAAAACTACAATATGTTATTCACACGTCAAAGAATTTGTGAAATTTAGAAAACAGAAAAGAAGTCTTAATCTCAATTAAAATAGACTTTTCAAAATAAATTGTTAATTTATAATTAAAAAAACTATTTTATCGTGTTGGGATTATTTGAAATTTTTTTTTCGTGGATATAAAAGCCAAATATCCCGCAGTAAAGACCTATATATAAGCACGTGTAACAAATATCTATTTTATTGTATTAAACCTGCAAGATAATTCATAATTCAAGTTTTTAATGAAGACGACATGTATTCCCATTATTAAATTATGGAACAGAGAGACTGATTACATATTTACAGGGTGTCCCAAAAAAAACATGGGAATTAAGTGACGAATTCGATATCGTCTTAGTTATGATTTAGCATTGTAATACCTAATTTCAAAAGCTGCATAATATTTTTATGTCTGATAGTTTATTTTATGAAAAGGGTAAAAGACTGCATAGATGTGTCAATAATGTCTCCGCAAGATGTACTGTGAAGACGGACAAGTTTACTCTGTTTGTATACTGCAATTTTCTTGTTTTACTAAGTACAACCGTATGCAGTCAAAACATAAACAAACATAGCAGACGAAACTTTTACAGATTACAGCTTTCTCAGTAGGTATCACTATACTATATCAAAGAATTATTTAAAAAGACGTATTGAATTCGTCACTGAATTCCCATGTTTATTGGGACACCCTGTATTAGAAGACAACGATAAGCTGCATGGTTCAACAATGTAATAAAAACCACATTTTTTATATTAAATAACCTTTTATAGATCTAGTCTATAATTATATACTAAATCTCTATACAATAAAGCTCTTTGCTCATATATACATAATATAAATATATAGTATATATAATATAGGAACCCTATATTGCTGCTCTACACTTGAACATGCCCTAGACATCACTTCAATATCCACCCTGTACAAAACAACTTTGACGCAAGCATACACTAGAATAAGAATACTGGGTGATGAAACAGTTAACTCTGCCTTACAATCTAAATTAGACAGGGGAAAAAATTGGCTCCGCAAAAATTCCATCAAAGACTATGCAGAAAAAGTGGTTCAACAGTTTGCTGTCCCATTGGCAACACATATCCAAGATGAACATTTTATCACAGATATAACAACTAGGGATGTGTCTGTTCACCCTTTTGAAATCGGCTCAAGAGGATAAATCTCAACATCAAATATAGCAAATTTAAAGAAACTAAATTAGTTTTGCATAAGTTCTGCAAACCCACTGTTAGTTTCAAAGCCTTGCAGTGCTGTCATCATACCACATTTTAAGAAAACGAAAAACACTGGACTGGGACCAAAAAATTCCATTTCTGAAAACCACCTCTGAATAACTAAATTATTAAGGCACCTGTTTTTTTTGGGACAACCCTGTCAATCATAAAATGCGATATTCAGAGTGAAGAGTATTAGTATTAAATTGTAAACTTTTATATTGTTTATTGTAATTTTGCTTTAGACAAAAATAAATGATGAATATATTTAAGCTCTACGGTCATATATACATAATACATAAAATATACAGCTATTTGCTGATGACACAACTTTTCAAATGTGTGGAAATGATATTAAAAAACTTTTTGAAAAGACAAATATTGAACTTAATAAAGCTGCCGAATGGTTTCATTGTAATAAACTATCGCTAAATGTTGTTTTTAAGCCAACTAAAAAAAATGCTGACTTTAAAAATCTAACTCTAGAGATAGGTGGAAAGAAAATTGAAAGAATTGGCAACAATTTTCCGACTAAGTCATTTAAGTTTGTTGGGATCAATATCTCGTTTGCTAATATTCAAATTGCAAGAGTAAAAAAATATTCTACCCATTTGTACTTTGACTAACCTTTAGAATGCCCTTTTTAGGCCTCATTTAGAGTTTGGGGTTATGACGTGGGGGGGGGGGGCGCTCCAAAATCTAAACTGAAAGGGATTATGAAATGCCAGAAAAAGTGTATCAGAAATATTAGTAGAAAAACATATAATGCAAATACTGGCTCTACTTTCAAGAAACTTGATATCCTCAAGTTTAATGATCTCTTTGAATTCAATTGTAAAATATTTATGCATTCATTTTATCATGGAAGGCTGCCACCTTGTTTTTCTAATGTGTTCCAGAAATCAATTTCGACTAGAACAAATAACATTGTTACAAAACTTTGTAAGAAATCTAGTTTACATAAATTTCCAGTCCATTTTCTACCAAAACTGTGGAATTCACTAGAAAATGACTATAAAGTTCTTGAATCAAAATCCTCATTTAAAAATTCACTGTATTCAAATTATATTTTATCTTATTAAACTTGATTGCCAACTGAATCGGGCTTGTCCCAAACCCTACTGCTCCAAAACTAAAAGTATTCATTATTTTAATTTACTCCACTCTGTCTCTGTATTCAAGGAATCGCTAACCAACATGCACAGTATCTGGTATATCTCATCGCTCAATAGTACAGTCTAAAAAAGACCAAATGAGAAAAAAATTTTGGGCTAGTTTATACAGTCTGAAGACTTTCTAGTCCGCAAACTAGTGTCTGTAATTGTAAATATGTAATATATCACTGATTTTATTCCATGACCATAACTTGTACATATATTTTTATCATTTAACCTGTAAACTAGTTTGAAATGTACATTATTATTATTATTATTATTCTTATTATATTAAATCTTTGTTCATTATATCCGGCTAACCGACAGAACCAAATTGGCTGAATTTTTTTATGGAACACTAGGGTGAGGGTTAAATATTTTTAACAAATAAGTTTTTTTTCAGTGTTTTTCAAACCTGGGCAACGCTAGGTACTTCAACACCAGCGGTTAAGGGTTTTGACTTCTTTCCTTTTCCTGGTCCTTTTCCCTTTTTATCTAGTTTCCCTGTACTTGTTGAGGTTTCTTTTACTGAACATATCACCTTATCGAGGTTTTGTGATCTTTTCTCTGTTTGTTTTTGAGAGCTTCTTCCCTGCTTACTACCCGACTGTCCATCATTGTAACAGGCTCCAAACTCAAATTGTCTTTCTCTGTTTTCTCGTTCTATTTCATCTGAATCCAGTTCATCTTCTACAATACCGAGGATGGTAATGATCTTTGAGGCGTCAAATGAAAATCCTCCGTAGAATTTTATCAGGCCTTCGTTTATCATGTGAAGAGATATCTTTGAAGCATAAGAAGTGGAGAAACCGAACCTTATCTTTAGATATTCTATGTTGGGTACCTTATCAGGGTGGCAAGTAACATGTTCTTGGTTCAGAATGGACTTTAACACCCGCTTCATGTTTTGTTTAAACACGAATTTCTGTTTGTCGCTGTGCGTCCTCTCTTTCCTGTCTGCAACATCATAGTGTTCTTGTATTTCCTTATTCCCGCAGTTAACTCCCATGGTTAATGCACAGTGAACGCATGTGTGATCCTTTTCCACATTTCCTCCGTAGCATGCTGTGTGTGAGAAGTTGCCACATGTCCCGCATCTCATTATCTCTGGGTCCCATGTGTTATATAGACAGACGCAGGAAATCCGTCCTACTTTGTTTGTTTTAGGAAAGTTGTCGTCTGAATCTTTCTCAGATGATGAATATTTCTGTTCTGATATCACCTTTGATTTTACGTTTATGTTCGTCATCTCTTCGTCATCACTTTCGATTAAACTGGTATTCATCACTTTTGTATTCCTTGAACCCTCATTTTTGACCTCCGCTTTAGAGCATTTTCTCTTCTCCTTTGAATCATTGAGTTCAACTGCATTTCTCTTGTTCTTCTCGTGATTGCTTTCTCTTCTTACGTTAGAGATTTTATCCACAACTGTTATCTCTTTAGTTGTAGTATTCTGTTTTTCTCTCGATCTTAGGCTCATCCTGCATATTAAAGATTTTAATCACTTAATTATTAATTCAACAATTAACTTATCTTGTAAATAATAACTAATAGCTTTTCTTTATTACATCTAAATTTACCAGTTTTTATAAAAAACCGAAAATCCAAATTATTCAGTCGAATCCTGAAAAATTAGACAATTCCCCACAACACGTTTATAAAATAATGAGAACAATGAAGTTTGACGTCCTTTTCTCACCTTGGAAATTAGTAAAACATTTATTCAAAAATATAAATAATTATTAAGATTAGTAAACAATCCCATAACTTATTTTAACATTTTTAAAATAAATAATCAAAATTAACTTGATTAAGTATGCTATTGCTGTACACAAACTATTAAATATGACATTTCTTATCCCGCCATAACGTTTGTCGAATAATATAAAATTAATCAAAATAAATAACAATTAATAACAATAAATACGTTCGTCATCGACCGTTGCTATTTCTCCCTTAATCATGGTAAATTGTGAGAATAAAGTGATAACCCGAAATCATTTTTTTAATACGAATGGGAACTAGCAATCCATCTATCTAGTAAGTTATCTATGTCATAAACCATTTTCTCTAAAAACTAAGTAAACTTGTAGTTTTTTGTTATTTAGCGTTTATTTTAATCCTTTTTGTTTTGATTTAGTCAATCACGTTTTCCACTTTTCCATTGTTGTGACTTTTAACACAATATTCAAAAATGCCCATGCTTCTGTTTTAAGCGCCACTTAACTTTTAAAAAAAACCTCTTCTACCTTTCACTTGCAGAATTTTTACTGCTTTGGTGAGGTTTATCCCAGGATTTTCCTTTTTCCTCCATCCTTGGGGTGTAACTGCTTGTTAATTCCTGCTTGGTGTTCGTTCTTTCTGATCTTCCTGTTATATATGTTAATTTCGACCTAATTTCTCCAGTCATTGTCCATTTTCTTTGAAAAAAACCTTTATTAAAATTCTAATTGGTTTCTCATTTTTCTGATTGAGAAAATAAATTGCTCTAGTTTTCTTCCAGGTATTTCTGCTGGTAGATAATATGTATCTTTATCTAGTTTTGAATTTTTTAACACATTTTTCACGAACACATGTCTTTTGCTTACATTGTCGAACACTGTGGTACCTATATATTTTTTCTTTTCTTGTTTTTCTGGCCGTTTTTTACTAACTTTTCTAATTTTTCTAATTTCGTTTTCTGGAAAACCCTTTTCTTGTAAAATTGTTTTCACTATCTGGTTTTGGTTACTCAGTTCTCTAATTGAGGAAGTGTGTGTCTTGTTAGTATTAAAGTAATGTAGTCCTGCCATCATTTTATATTTTGCGCTTATATTTGAGTTGAAAGGAATAATATCATATTTAGAACTTGCTTTTCTCAATACCGTTGTTGTAGGTTTACTTTGTCCAGGAAAATTAAAGATTTTGATATTTAAAAATTTCCCAAAAATCAATCTTGATTCCACATTAAATTGGATACATTTTGGATATCCAGTTATAACTATCTTCATGATTTTGAGCATTTTCTCTGGTTCCCCAGTTAAATGAATCGATACATCATCCCGGAACCGTAAATATCTATTAACGTGTTTGTTCAGTTTCCTATCGTATATACTTTTATAGATATCTAGCTCAAAGACTCGGAGTATAAGTTCGCTCCCTCTTGCTGCTGAATTGTCACCCATGGAAAATCCCTCTAGTGTTTTAAAAATTCCTTGTGGTTCATGAAAATATGAATGACTCATTGAGCATTCCATGAGTTTGATTATGTAATCTACCGAGTCTCTTTCTAATTTTGCAATTTTTCCTGCTTTTATAATGCAACTTTTTAAAAGTTTTTTATTACAATTGGAGTATAAGTCGCCAAAATCACCTTCCATTTCTATTGATGTTCCCCAGTTTCCTGTTTTTGATTTTTTTATCCTCTCGATTGCTTCTGATACTCCCGTTACTGATGGAGATAATGCTCCAAAAAGTCTCAAGAATTCTCGCTCTATAAAAAATAGCATGTGGTTATATAGTTTGTCTAAAGTTTTTTGAACAAGTTTTATCGGATCATTCATTGAGCTCTTGATTCCCCTACTATTCAAATTTTCCACGTTATCTTTGTTGATGGTTTTAAGTTTTAAAACTTTTGGCATGAGCCTTAATGTCCCAATTTCAGCTTTGTTTTCTTTCCATATAAAATCTGCATTTTTAACAATGTTACTTAGTTCAAACGGTATATTGTCTCTTGCATCTTTAATAAAAGTTTTGATGTTTCTTATATACCATTCTTCAGTTATGTTAGCTTTACCAAAGTGCTGTTTTATATTAATTTTGTTATATTGCTCTAATAAGTCGACCCTGTCTATGCATACATATCCTACCCCTTTGTCTGCTGCTACTATGATATTGCTTGCATCTGTTTTAAAACTGTTTTCCCATTCTCTTTCTGACCGTAGTTGTTCAGATGTTTTAGATCTGTTTTTCAAGAAATTTAAAAACTTTCGTTTCTCTGAGCAGTATGATTTTTTAATTGACAAAAGAGTTTCTCTAAGTGTTACGTTCTTTATCACATTTTTAGATTTTAACAAAAGTTTTATGATTACAAAAACATTTTTTGTCTTAATATATGATATTCCTGGTTTTGTAATATTCACTAGAATTTGTTTCACTTGTTCATCAAATTTCGTTATTTCTTTTTTAATGTCGATCTTAAAAAACGGGTTATACTTTTTTCCAAATTTCAGGCTTTCTTTTAGTTCTTTAGTTACCGGTGTTCCGGATATGTTAAAAAAACTATCTCCATTTAAATTTTCTAGTATCTTTTCACATTCTTCAGTATTCATTTTAGACATTAATTTTTGTAACCCTTTTACTATCTGTTTTTCTAAATTACCGTTTACATTCTCAGTGTTCAATATTAACTTGTTTTTTATCTCTTCAGAGTTGATTTCTGCAATAATCTTTTTCACACTTTCTAATATGTTTAGGTCGTCTAGTCCTTTCTTAATTTCTTTCTTAAAAGTTTTCCATTCTTTGTTGAAGTTTTCTCCAGAAGATATATTAAAAATGGTTTTTCCCAATATTAGATCCTTGGCTAATTTGCTTTGATTATATACCAGTTCACTTAACTTTTTGGTTATATTTTTTACCGTGTTAGAAATATCTTTTCCCATAGTTTGGAGTGCTCCAATCATCAGCCATAACATCATCATTATATTACCCATAATTCTGAAAGATTAAATAATGGTTTGGAAAAGAAAGTTTATTTTAAACAAACATATTAAATAAAGACATTTCTTAAATTACATTTAATAAAAGTATGAAAAAGAAATTTTAGTTTTAACAAGCATTTTAACGAAAATTTTTAACAAAATATATTCTATCTCGGTTTTAAATTATTCTGTTTACATTTTCTATTTTGATTTTGCGTTAAGAAAAATTTAATTAACAAATATATATTGATCTTAAAAACATTATCTATATTTATTAATCTGTTTTCATGATTTCACCACGAATTCAGTGTAATCCGATTAAATCTGTTAATTTTAAAATTAACAGATATATTGTTTTTTTAAAAAACCATTTACTATGACACCCGTCACCTTTTTAAATTTTTTTTGTTTTAAAGTGAGAACATCAGTCCCTGTTATCTCACTTTAGTTTTTCCTTTTATGTTTTTTTTGTTGTTTCTTGTTTATTTTTCTAAAAAATCATTAAAATCTCAGAACTGAGCTTACTCACTGTTGTATGTTGATTCCTCTGTTCTGCTATCTCTAGTATATTCTTCTACCTCTGTAGTGTTCCGTTCTGAGTATGATGAAGAAGATTCTGATGGAATTCTTTCTGTTCTTCCGAACTCTGTGATCTTCCTTTGACCAGGGTCCAGTTCTTTCTTCTTGAGCTTCGCCGTATGTTCGGTTTTCCTCCCAACCTTTTTTCCTTTCTTTGTAGCAGGTTTAAATTTCTCCGCAAAAACTTCCCTCTCTTCAGATTTTGAACCTTCTTCTGTAACATACTTCCTAGATTTTTTAATCCTGTCAAACTTCCGGCATTTACTAGATAGATATATCGCCCAATCGTTTGTGTGCTTGAACCGCGTTGAGTATTTCTCCCTTATTGAGTAATCGCCCCAAAAGAGATAGTATTCGTCTTCGATTATAGAAGCATCTATCTCCTGTATCTCTTTCTGAGTACCAAAAGACCACATTTGAACTAGTTCTCCTCCCATACCAACGATACAGTGGAAATTCCACATTTCATTATCATTATTTTGTTTTGCTTCTCTTTTGTTTATAATCTGTCCAAACACTGGTCCTTTTGTGTGTTTTCCAAGTTCTGCTACACTCACTGGTTCGTGGTTTTGTGAACTACTCCGAGCTTCACTGTTTGTGTATTTTAACGGCCAGACTAGCTTGTTTTTGTAACTGCAACCTTCTCGGTCTGTGTATATTTCTGTACCAGTGATAAACGATGATGGACTTTCGTTTCCCTTATCGTCTGTCTGATTGCCCAGTTCTTGAACTTTTTGTGGTGTCTCGTACAATTTCTGGATCCCAGGTTGTGAGCTTTCTCTGTTTCTTTTCCTACTCGTCGTTCTAGCGGGTGTAGTTGAGCTTGAATCACTTATAACTTCGGGTGTTGCTTCAACACCAGCGGTTAAGGGTTTTGACTTCTTTCCTTTTCCTGGTCCTTTTCCCTTTTTATCTAGTTTCCCTGTACTTGTTGAGGTTTCTTTTACTGAACATATCACCTTATCGAGGTTTTGTGATCTTTTCTCTGTTTGTTTTTGAGAGCTTCTTCCCTGCTTACTACCCGACTGTCCATCATTGTAACAGGCTCCAAACTCAAATTGTCTTTCTCTGTTTTCTCGTTCTATTTCATCTGAATCCAGTTCATCTTCTACAATACCGAGGATGGTAATGATCTTTGAGGCGTCAAATGAAAATCCTCCGTAGAATTTTATCAGGCCTTCGTTTATCATGTGAAGAGATATCTTTGAAGCATAAGAAGTGGAGAAACCGAACCTTATCTTTAGATATTCTATGTTGGGTACCTTATCAGGGTGGCAAGTAACATGTTCTTGGTTCAGAATGGACTTTAACACCCGCTTCATGTTTTGTTTAAACACGAATTTCTGTTTGTCGCTGTGCGTCCTCTCTTTCCTGTCTGCAACATCATAGTGTTCTTGTATTTCCTTATTCCCGCAGTTAACTCCCATGGTTAATGCACAGTGAACGCATGTGTGATCCTTTTCCACATTTCCTCCGTAGCATGCTGTGTGTGAGAAGTTGCCACATGTCCCGCATCTCATTATCTCTGGGTCCCATGTGTTATATAGACAGACGCAGGAAATCCGTCCTACTTTGTTTGTTTTAGGAAAGTTGTCGTCTGAATCTTTCTCAGATGATGAATATTTCTGTTCTGATATCACCTTTGATTTTACGTTTATGTTCGTCATCTCTTCGTCATCACTTTCGATTAAACTGGTATTCATCACTTTTGTATTCCTTGAACCCTCATTTTTGACCTCCGCTTTAGAGCATTTTCTCTTCTCCTTTGAATCATTGAGTTCAACTGCATTTCTCTTGTTCTTCTCGTGATTGCTTTCTCTTCTTACGTTAGAGATTTTATCCACAACTGTTATCTCTTTAGTTGTAGTATTCTGTTTTTCTCTCGATCTTAGGCTCATCCTGCATATTAAAGATTTTAATCACTTAATTATTAATTCAACAATTAACTTATCTTGTAAATAATAACTAATAGCTTTTCTTTATTACATCTAAATTTACCAGTTTTTATAAAAAACCGAAAATCCAAATTATTCAGTCGAATCCTGAAAAATTAGACAATTCCCCACAACACGTTTATAAAATAATGAGAACAATGAAGTTTGACGTCCTTTTCTCACCTTGGAAATTAGTAAAACATTTATTCAAAAATATAAATAATTATTAAGATTAGTAAACAATCCCATAACTTATTTTAACATTTTTAAAATAAATAATCAAAATTAACTTGATTAAGTATGCTATTGCTGTACACAAACTATTAAATATGACATTTCTTATCCCGCCATAACGTTTGTCGAATAATATAAAATTAATCAAAATAAATAACAATTAATAACAATAAATACGTTCGTCATCGACCGTTGCTATTTCTCCCTTAATCATGGTAAATTGTGAGAATAAAGTGATAACCCGAAATCATTTTTTTAATACGAATGGGAACTAGCAATCCATCTATCTAGTAAGTTATCTATGTCATAAACCATTTTCTCTAAAAACTAAGTAAACTTGTAGTTTTTTGTTATTTAGCGTTTATTTTAATCCTTTTTGTTTTGATTTAGTCAATCACGTTTTCCACTTTTCCATTGTTGTGACTTTTAACACAATATTCAAAAATGCCCATGCTTCTGTTTTAAGCGCCACTTAACTTTTAAAAAAAACCTCTTCTACCTTTCACTTGCAGAATTTTTACTGCTTTGGTGAGGTTTATCCCAGGATTTTCCTTTTTCCTCCATCCTTGGGGTGTAACTGCTTGTTAATTCCTGCTTGGTGTTCGTTCTTTCTGATCTTCTCCTATCTGATCTCCTGGTTTCCTCCCAATCTCTTCTTTCTACATATCTATTAAAATTATTTCTATTAAACCTTTTTTAAAAAACTTTAATTTTTATGCCTTATTTTTTGTTGTTTTATCGACGTCACTTTAATATCTTAAATCATATTGTTAATTACAATTCCAGATATTGTTGCGAAAATTTTAAATTTATTGTTCGTAAATTCTTTGTTTTGTCCCTTTATATTACGATTTTTTCCAAAAACATTTTTTAAAAAATTGGCTCATTTATTCCCCCTGTTATATATTTTCTTTTTACATCATTTTCTCTATAATTTCTAAAATCACTGTTGATATTCACCTATTTTCTGATCTATTATTTGTTGCTCCTGTCAAATCGTTCGTAAACGTTTTAAGAACATTTCCATGTTGATCTCGTGTTATATCTGGGTGTAGGAACGGACAATTACTCCCATTTTTACAATATCCTTGTATGAAGAATCTACAAGGATACTTCATTCTCTGAAAAAATTAGATTATTAAATCCTGTTCAAAACTTTATATCCTGACAATTTACACCATGTTAACTCTATCAATTTTCTACAAATAGTTATTGTAGTTTATTATGCTGCACTTTAACTTTTGATCAAGTTTAACTCTTGGATTTCTCTTTTTCCTTGTAGTATAGAGTTATCACTTATTTAAATTTTATTTCCCTTCCATTTTAGTTCTCTTTTTCTCGTGTAGATTAAATTATCACTGAAGTTCTCTATTTATATTCTTTTCCATTCTTCGGTAGTTTAATACTCCTTTCTTTTTAACATTCTTTCCTTCTCACGAACCTCCAGTTTATTCCATTTTACTTTTTATCACATTATTATTTTAAGTTGTATTAGCTGTTATTGATTGCTATTGGTTTCCGCTTTCAATGAAGGATGCAAACACCAGTCAAACCGTCTGGAGTAGATCCTACTTCGCCAAATTATATTTCTTTGGATAAATTATACATTCCAAAGAATGTATAGACACAGAATTTTTTCTGGATACATTTAATGGCTCCATCTTTCAGTCCAAGCGTGTCTCAGACGTAGTCTGTGAACTATCTGACAAATGCTCCCATTCTCCATCAATTACGAAAACCAACTTGCTGCAGTTAACTACTTTTTTAAAAAAATTTTTTGGTTTTATAAGCATCTCTTTTAACTGATTATAGTTTCTTAATTTAACTCGATTCCATCAATACCTAGAATGGCCATCCTGTTGTGTGGGGAGTTATATTTTTAACTCGAAAAAATAACGAAATTAACATATTCAGTAAATTGGTTTTCCTTGTTTTGAGTTTTTCTCTTATCCTAAATAAAAATTTTATAATAAAGTTATATTTGAGTAAAGTTATATTTGCAAACTAGACGTAATTGTAAACTTAAAATTTTACTTTTCTAATATTTGATGTATTTTGCTAGGACCTGTATCGTTTTTTTCCTTTCTAAAAAAACCTTTCTTTAGTGTATAAAACCCTTCTCAATAAAGTTATAAATAAGACGTTATGAGGTTTGAAAAAACTGCAATTTGGTGCGTCCAGGCGAACATTAGACACAACAAATGTGCAGTTGCAAACAGCCCTATATCACTTAACGTACTAGTAAAGCTATTTGGGTTGTAAAGACATCAAATGTACTTTATTGCTTTAATGTCGTCTTCATATTATACAGTTTTATGGTTATACCTGTATATAGGAGAATATACGACTTAATCGGGAAATTGGGAATATTAGCAATCATGTACCTTGGACGCCCTTCATTACAAAATTCCAAAATATTGTCCAATTAAAAAAACACACGATGAGAAATCCACTGCTTGAAAATTGCTGACTAGTCCTGTATTAGGGTCCGTAGGGTTTCCTATTTCTAGAAAAATATGCTAAATATCATCAAACTTAATCTATCTTGAATAATATCCAAACAGATCATTACAACATTTGTACATTTTATCTTCTGAAATAATAAAGCTACATTCTACAATATAAAAACAATATCAAATATACAATTTTATACAGGTCAAGAGTAATGTCATAAAATATTGGCATCATCTGGTTATTCACTAATAGTTAGTTACCATAATATATACAGTAGGTCATAAATATCGTCATAAAATGATGTAAAAAAAATACAAATACTGGCACAATTCCCTATTAGATAGGGTCATTACAAATTTTATACAAAATATAAGATATTTTAATATTGCTAATTAGCTTAATATAAACAGTAAATAGTAATGGGACCACTATGGAAGAGTTTTCAAGATGAAAAATGTAAAACTATTTCAATCTTTGTTTCTAAGTATTGTCTGGATAATAAACATTTAAAATTTAATACTATTTCCCATAGGGAGCAGAATCTAAACCTAATCATAGACCAGGTGTAACTTTTTTAGAAAAAAATTGCAGAAAGAATAGTGTTATTGTACTTTGTGCACCCGCCTCATGTGCTGTCTTAAGTTCCCAATGGAGGTAGCAGCATGTCCACATTGATCACAGGGATATCTTACATTTTCGTGTTTACTTTCAATGTGCTTTTTTAAGTTGATCAAAGTGGTTCCAGTGTACTCGCACTGGTCGCACAAATGCCGCTCGACAGGATGTTTGCACTCTTTATGTCCTTTCAAATTATTTGAGGTAGCACCAACATAGTCACATTGATCACAAGGAAAATTGATTCCTTCATGCTTACACATCTTGTGTCTTTTCAAATTGTACATTGTGTTTGCAATATATTCACACTTATCACAAGGATACCTGTCATTAGTGTGCTGACCCTTCATGTGTATTTTCAGATTGCCAATAGTCGCAGCACAATAATCACACTGGTCACAAGGAAAATTAATACCTTCATGTTTACTTTTCTTATGAAGCTTTAAAGTAGCGTATGTTATTGCTGTATACTGGCAAATATTACACTGATACGAGACTCCCTCGTGTTTACTTCGTTTATGTATTTTCAATTTACCGACTGTTATCGCAGAATATTCGCACTGATCGCATGGGTAGCGAACCCCCTTGTGGATGATTTCTATGTGTCGCTTCAAGTCAAACTTAGTTGTAGATTTGTGTCCGCACTGGCTACATGGATATCGGATACCATCATGCTTACTGGCAATGTGTTTCTTCAAGGTTATTGATGCATATGCCACGTACTCACATTGATCACAAGGATATTTCACATTTCCATGTTTTCTTGCCTTGTGTGTCTTTAAATTGGTCGGAGTTTGTGCTGCATAATCACATTGATCACACGGATGTTTTACTCCTTGATGTTTACTTCTCACGTGGTTTATCAAATTTGAACTGTGCTTGGCAACATAATCACACTTTTCACAAGGATATTTACGTTTTTCAGTTCCAGTTCCTTCGGCATCTTCGTTAGTATCAACTTCTGAAAGAAATTTATTCAGAATTCAGCACATGCCAGTGAAAATAAAAATTTAACAAAAGGCAATAATTTTTTGGTTTTCAAGAATGTCAACTGAAAGTTTGGCTTGGACAAATAAATCAAGAGAATGAGGCTGGACAATGATAAAAAAATAAGTTTTGCACCAGAGTACTCTACCTGTAATAATAGGTTGACCGTCTTCATTCTTAAGAATAACAGCCGGGTGTAGGGCGGTCAGGTCAGAACTTTTAATATCCTCTAGTGCCACCTGAACAATATTTATGGTACATACGTTCGCCAATACTAGGAATTCAGGGAGCATGGCGACCCTTTTCCAAGTGAAAACTGGTTATCCGAGTTAGACAAAGAATTTTGTAGAAAAGATTTCAGAAATTTAAAATTCGCATTTGAATGTGAAAAAAACCAAAAACGATACACAATGACAAATTGAAGTTCGACAAATTCAAAATTAAAGCTAAATGTTTAAAATCTTTATTGAAGTCTTTTTTCTTGGCTCCATTGTATACTATTTAAAAAATGTAAAAAAATAGTAAAATTTTTTCTAATTCAAGTGAATGTGCCAAATTGAATAAATATTTACCCAATTTCTCACCTTAACATCTTCCGAGTTGACTGGATTACCCCCGGGAACATGTTGATATTGGTCTCTTGTATCCTGGAATCCATAGTTCTGTGCAGGAGCATTATATCTCGGATCTATCGGCGGTTGCGGTTGCGGCGGGTTCGGATTACTCTTCAACCACGCGGTTCCCAGCTGATATACTGTACTGATGGAGGTTATATGTTGCCGCGCAGCATTCACAACTAGTTCCCGCCGTTCAGTTTCCTCCAGATGAATTCTCAGTTGTTTTATCAGGAGAAGATTATCCTCAAGACCGTGCTTTAAGTTTAGAATATCTATCATGACGTGCTTTATCACTTGTTTATCATCTGTTGTCGCAGGAATACTCTGAAATTTTTGAAGCATTTATCTGACATGAAATAAATTGTCTATTCCGTTTTTTTAATTGATAATGGTAAGATACCAGAAGCAAAGCTTTAGGCTTAAGGATTTCAGACGACACAGCTAATGCGTAGTATAGTTTTGATAAATAAGGTCAAATAATTTTTTTTAAATTAAATGATATACCTGAAGATCTCTATGTATCTCCCACCTATGGGCATATAATGAGTCCATATCTGTGGTTTCGCATGCGGCTAGCGCCATTTTCACTTCTGTAATATTTTGAAATTAATTTGCGAAAAAATGAAAATAATAATAAATTATATAACTCATACTAAATATTTACTTATGTTGCATTAGATACTGTTTAGATGTCGAAGCATGTTCACAGAAATCACAAGAGTATCTAATATTATCGTGTTTGCTTTGCATGTGCTCTTTTCAGTTTTATCACCTTGATCGCACAACTACTTCAAGTGTGTAAGTGTGTTATCAAAAAGATCAGATCTAATGATACATTGTTACATTTAGCACAATGATATATTTAAACATGATTCTTTAGAGCTCATTTATTTGATCCAATATACTCACATTGGTCATTGACAAACTTTCCCATCACATTGTTACCGACAATTACAATCACAATTCTAACCAAACATTTTTCGATTTATCATGAACATTTTAAATTTGCATTTGATTCATCTGAATAATTTCATCGAGGGTGCTTCAAAAAATCCACAGTAGAGTCAAAAGTATTTTTAAAAACGTTAAAACTTAGATTTTTTTCAAATGCCGTCCATGAATGCGATGTTAATGGTAAAGGTTATTTCAGAAGCTTTTTATCAATTCCTGTATTTTGCATTTGCAAATTTTACTTTCTCCTGATCTTTATAAAGAATTATTTTCGATAACTTTATTCTCATTCTATTCTGAAAAATAGCATTTTTAATATTTTCTCCGTTACCTGACAACTAAAATTGCAATTAAGCAACTTGTAAATTTTAAATAACAAAATATGCAATTTTTAAGGTGGTTAAAACAGCCTTCTCAGAGATACAAAAAATGAGATTTTGATTAGCGTTAAGAGTATTTAGGGGCCGGAATTCTAAAGACTTTATTCGGGGTTCACTTTGTGAACACGTCTAATGTGCTGACGAAGATTACTTTTCGAGGTTGACGCATGATCACATAAGCTACAGGGATACCTAATCTTCTCATGCGTGCTTTCGATGTGTGCTTTTAAAAATGTTGGTAATGTTGCCGCATAATCACACTGGTCGCAAAGATATTGTGGACGTTTGTGTCGGGTTTCTTTGTGTTGTGCCACACTTGTTGATCTTGGTCCAACATAATCACATTCATCACATGGATACGTTATTCCTTCGTGCTTAAATTCAATATGTCTTATCAGGAGTTGTTTTAAATTACAACTGTAATCACACTTGTCGCACATTATTGTCTTATTACCATGTTTGCCCTTTTTATGTGCAACTAAATTCACTTTATTCTTGCCAACATAATTGCACTTGTCACAAGGAAATTCAATTTCCATGTGGCATCTGTTAATGTGATTCTTCAGTTGTGCTTCTGTTTTCACAGAAACTTCACATTTTTCACATCTCTTCAAATGATAAACTTCTATGTGTTTATTCATTTCTTGAATTGTTTGAGCAAAGAAATCGCAATCATCACATTTAGTTAGGCTGGGGTTGGATGAATCGGGACGCGAGACTTTGTGGGTTTTCTTTTGATGTCTCTCCAGCTTAAACTTGGTTTTATAAGAACGTTTGCATAAATCACAAGGAAAGGGATTGTTGTTGTGTAATCGCCATTTGTGATTTATCAGAGAATTAAGACTAACTCCAACATAACCACAACTCTCACAAAAAAGGTCATCTTTATTCTCTTCCAAAGCTATTCCTGAAAAGTACAAATCAAATATCTACAAACGGTTTAAAAAGTCAGTAGCTAAAATATGACGCATTTAAGTGGTATGAGGACGCATCTAATCATACACAATATGGATGAAGCCCATGAGGAAAAAAGAAACAATAAGGATGTACAGTCAGGACGCTCTATTGAGGACGCACAAAATTGTGACAAACATCGAAGCTTTGTGAAAGTTGGTATACCTGGTTTGTGTTTCCTGGCTTCGTGTTTATCCAACTCCAGGACTGAAGAGGAGAAGAATTCTCTTTGATCACATTTATTCATCTTCTTACACTTTAATTCCAGAGAATCATCTTCTACATTACAGATAAGTCACTGATTACTCGCCTCAAACAATAATCTTTTGATCCATATCTTCGCAACCCAATTTCAAAGACTTTTGATATAATGGTTACTTCGGAATGAAATAGTAAAAGTTTAAAACATCAGGTTACAAAGATATCCGAAATGAATGATAAAAGTTGGAAGTGAGAAGTAAGTTCATTTACTGTAATTAAGGAGGATTGCTATCAAACATTTACAACATTGCTCTTTAAACCTTTAAAAATTTTACAAAAATTATTTTTTTGTCTATCTATTAAGGAATAGATTTCCTGGGAAATAAGTTTTTGATTTCGTTAGAAAAGTATTGTTACTTTGATTTTTATTGTTGTAAATTATTGATGGCATTTTTAAAGCTAGTAATCACATACAACTTCAATATCACCATTAGTCTCTTCAATATGTCTTTTTAAAAATAAAATTCAGGAGTTTTCCATTACCTTTAATATTATCTTTCGCTTCGTTTAATACAACAGTATCATCTAGTAACAATTCCTTATCTTGGATTTCATTTTCACCAGAATTATCATTCAGCCGATCTTCATCTTCCGTTGACATATCAATTTCATCTAGATCCATTTTTACATCTACCAACATTATAAATTTGTCTTGTTCAGAATTGTCTTCACTTTTAACTTCTCCTGCAAAAAAATTTAGTTTAATTTAAAATATCTTGGTCATTGTTTACTTTCATTTTGAACATGAACTTGACGTTTTTATGAGAGGCTGTTTGCTATGAATGCATTGTTTAAATTTTTATTTAAAAATACAATATTTTGTGGAAGACGATGCCTGGCCACGTTAAACAAGTTCCACAAGATTCAACAGAATGAGATAGAACGGATACGGGGCATAGTACTGATAGATCATCTACAAATGTGATATCAATATTGACTCTAGTTCTGAACCCTCTAGTAATAAGTTATAAGAAATTTATATACTGGAAGTTATTTATGCGTTTTTATTAGAGTCTGACTCACGTCCTCTATATTGGTGACCCCCGACTTTGAACATACAGTTAGACGCTATCCAGTTTCGTGATTTTCTTGAACTTTGAACATTAAGTGATACATTCGAGCATCATGACCGAAAAGAAAGAAACTCCAACCAAGTTTGTCGCCAAAGTCTCCATCAAGCTCCCGGATTTCTGGACAGAGGACCCCGACCTGTGGTTCCTCCATGCAGAGGCGGCCTTCAGAAACCCCCAAATCACACAGTCAATAACCAAATTCGACCACATCGTACAGAAACTTCCCCAGAAGATTATGGTCTCGGTACGCGGCCTGATCATGGGTTCTGCTGTTTATGCGTTTTTATTAGAGTCTGACTCACGTCCTCTATAATTTCAAGAATAAGATTTTATTTAATTATAAATTGGTTGGATTCTCAATAAAACTAGTACTACTTCACCTCGGTTGTCAGTGTTGGCAACGTGATTTAACCACGTGTTTCCCAACTGGTTTACAGTGCTAATGGTGTCTATTTGTTGCCGCGCAGTAATCACAATTGAATTCTTCTGATCGTCTTCCGCCTTGAAACATTTCAGCTGTTTAATTAGAAGCAGGTTGTCTTCCAGACTAAACTGAAGTTTAAGAAGATCAGACATTATTGTTTTGAGAACTTGCTTTTCTTGAGATTCTGCCTTCATGTCCTTGAGATAAATCGCTTTAATTACTTTTAACTAATTTATTATTTAATTATAAAAATTCATTTGATAAATTTTTATTTCTTGCAAATTGACAAAAGAAAACAATTTATTTGGTTAAAAATCTATATATATTCCTGATTATATTTGATCAATTTGTTTCTCTGAGTAACCAACATTTCCTTGTCAAGGTTTTCAAACGGAAGCTCCATTTTGGAAGATAAATTGATTCTGAAATTTGTTTTTGTTATGGCAGCTTTAAGCAAGATATACGTTCACAAGAATAAGATGAGCATCAAAATATTAGGACAAATTAGCAACATATTCTTAAGAACATTTTTAACACGTTACAAAATCACAGCTTAACAATACGATCCATTAAGTTGTATTAAATCTAAGATCTGGTTTTACTGGGTAAACTAAGATTCTAAAACAAGGTGATTTAAGCTAAAGAATTTGTGTTATTTACATTTTCAATATATTGTTTAAAAATGTATAATGTGTCATGTTACAAATTTATTAAATTGTAAATGCTTACGGTTACAAACACCGAAATAACTCTGTCACATAAATGAATAATACCATTTCATTTGTAAATGACGATGGATGGATTAAAAAAAATTGGAACCTGAAAGAACATTAAATAAGGTTTTGAGATTTATTTTTTTTCATCCATTCTTCATTTTTGACAGAACAAATAACATTATTCATATTAGGGACAGACAGATTTCGGATTTTCAACCATATATTTGACAAATTTTAACTACAAAACGTGATTTTACGTTCTAAGACATTAAATTTCTAAAGCTCTGGAATAAGCTAAGACAATTGTTAAAATTAAGTCTTGATTTTAAAAAGTCTACTGATTATGAAACACGGCATTTGTTCAGTGTTTATACTTTATACACACTCATTTAATTTCAATAAGTGGATTTTTAAGCTACTCGTAAAATCATTTGCTTAAAAAAATCAAAATACCCATAATATGCTTAAATATCGTTTTCTCTTTCCACTATTCTATAGGTCTCACTGTATAATGTTACACATTACCTTTAAACTACAGCAAGGAGGATGTTAGATATTTTTATTAATTTCTTTAACTTTGATTATAAATGAAATTATTGACAGAGTTTAAAATAGTCATGTTCCTATAGGAGCGTTATTACTAACTTTAATAATTTGATCTCCATTAATTTAAAATTTAAAATGTTAGATTGTGAATGTTAAGTCTTAAAATTGGTTAAACCCCCGATAATTGAAAGTTGTTTCAACTGGATTTACAAGAAGTAAACCCTACACTTTAAAAAAAACTCACGGTCACAGTGCTTAGAATCCGGATTCCGGATCCGTAACATTTTGGTTTCTTGGATCCGGATACGCTAAAATATGCAGAATGCAGATCCAAGGGGCAAAATATCAACCAAAATCTGCTAACAAAAATCTTTTGCTCTCAAAACCCATTATCAAGGTTTAGCATAAAAATATCGAAAAAGAAAGATCCGGATCCGCATCAAAATTGAATGTATCCTAAGCAATGCTCATGGATATCAAATGATACTTACTTTGTTACATTTATACGTCTAGAACACACCTACGGACTCAGCTTAGTGTTTTGAGGGTAGATTTTATGAACACGTCTCTTATGTTGCAGCAGATTACTTTTTGAGGTTGATGCATGTTCACATAAATCACAGGGATATCTGATCTTCTCATGAGCGCTTTCTATGTGAGCTTTTAAATGTCTAGGAATTGTTGCCGCATAATCACACTGGTTGCAAAACAGAGATGGTGGTTTATGTTGGGTTAGTTTATGAAATCTGACATTTGCCATACTTGCACAAACGTAGCTGCACTCGTCACATGAATATGAAACACCTTCATGTTTGAATTTAATATGTTTTTGCAAACACTGTGCAGTATTGCCAATATATTCGCACTGATCACACAAGAATTTGTTGCTTCCATGACGTGCCTGAGTATGTATTGTTAGATTAGTATTAGTCTTACCAACATATTCACATTGATCACAAAAGTAGAGTCCAGAGTGACAATTTCTAATGTGACTCTTTAGCTTTCCTTCCGACTTTCCTATAAAGTCACATTGCTCACATGGTTCATCAACAAAATGAAACTTTCTCATGTGTCTCTGAAGATAAAACTCGGACTTTCCCACAAAATCACACTGAGTACATGGACTCTCAACCCTGTGTTTAAGCTTTATGTGTTCTCTCAAAGTCCCTTCTGAGTTTGCAGTTTGATCGCATTGATCACATTTAATCAAACCCTGATAGTTCTCAGGATGAGATAACCTCTGATGTTTTCTAAAATTAACCGCTGTTATTCCCACGAAAGGGCATAAATGACAAGCAAATTTGCACTTCTCGTGAATCTCTCTCTTGTGTCTTCTTAAGCTTGGTTTTCCTTTAAAAGTACGATTACATAACTCACACTGAAACTTCTTCTTCCTGGTGTGCGCTTTAGGTTTGTTTTCAATCAGTAAGTGCTCATTAGTTTCTTCAAATTTTCTTTTCCCTAAAATCATTTTTAATTCAATAAACAAACAACCAGCAATTAACCATAAAACCGCAGAAGTCAGGACTGAGCCTCCGTCAAATATAACCAAAACGTTTGGATTATCTTTAAATATAGCATTAAAATAAAAACGTTACCAATAAAATCTAAATTAATTATTATTCAGTCCATGATCATTTTCACGAACACTCCTCTTTAATTGATTAATTGCTAACGAAGCATTTTACCTTTTTTCCTTAGAAAGTTCGTCTCTAAAAACTCCAAATTATCAGAATCTAGAAGAAAAAATATTTGAATCAGTATTAAGTTTGAAATTAAATTTGAAAATATATTTTAAGGATAGAGATATTTTAGTTCTTCTTCACTCTACATCTACTAAAGCTAAAACAAAAAAGGAAGAAACAAAAGCTATTATTCAATCCAGCGGAGGTGTGTACCGCATTGTCAGTGCTTTTTAAGCTTCCCTTTTATTTATCCCCTAGTATCCATGCTTTCCTGGCATACACACTGAATCCTTAAAATTCAGGCCAGGTCTGAACCACTAGATCCCAGGGCAAGTGGAGGAGCTCAACCCTATTTTCGTTGTATTTCAACCTACAAATCGTAGTACTTTGTCTGTAGGTTGATTGTTAATAATAATAATAATGGTCATATTAATCTTGGGATTAAAAATATTTCAAAATAAATTTCGGTATTAATAACTTCTTAAAATGCGGGATATCAAAGATTGAAAATTCGCAAAATATTAGAAACCGTCAAAAACCAAAGATTGATTCCCAAGATAACTATTAGTGAAAAAAAAACTTTTTAACACTGACATATAAGGCAGAAAATTATAGCCTTCTCTTGATTGAACCGCGGCCATTGCATTCCATGAAATCAAAATCTTTGATATCTCCCATAGCTTAACATATTTACCTTTCAAATCTACTTCCTCTTCTTTCACAGTAGCTTCTGTATTACTAGATGGGTTATATGAATCTTCTCTTGTTTTTGAATAGAAGATATTGTCAGATTTAAGATCATTGAAATCAGGAAACACTTTTGTCTCTTTTAATCGAGTTTTTAAATCTTCTTCTTGAAAATGAACTCTGTCTTCTCCAGAATTCATGATGTCATCCATTTCATCGACATCAATTTTGATTTCAAGGCATGATACTGTTTGCTCGTGTGATGAAGGAAGATCAGATATCAAATTGGTTTGCTCTTCTGAAACTAAATATTGCATAATTGAGGCACCACAAAAATTCAAATCGATGACTATAAAAGTTCATATACCCCCAGAATTAAAATAAACTTATGCATTAAAAAGGGTAGAGTTAAAAGATTCAAGATCTAAAAAATGATATTGTTAAAATGAAGATGTTCAGTGCAGACTTACTCTAAATAAAACAATGGCAGGTGGATTATAAATAAATTTTGTAGAGAATTAAATAAAAATTAATCAAATGATATTTAAAGTACCTGTTTCTAAACTTGTGAAAAGGGGACACCGCCTCATCCATTGAAATCCCAGCTGATTTACAGAACTGATCAAAGCAATTTGGAGGCGCCCAGCATTAACAATTACATCCTTCTTCTCATTCTCAGTTGGAAAACAGTTTAACTGTTTCATGAGGAGTAAGTTGTCCTCCAAACTGAACTGGAGTTTAAGAAGATCAACCATTATATTCTTAAGAACTTCATTGTCTTCAGATGTAGCATTTAAGTCCTTGGAGAAAAATATAGATAGAAACAAGGCTTAAATAGAAAATTAAAGAAACTTTCTATGCTTCCATGGGAGTAAACTTACTGCGTAAATTAGCTTAAAAACTCAATGCTTAGGGGGACAGTAAGAAATAAGGGTGACATGGAAACGCCTCATACGGAAATGCCTCAAAAAAACAGAGTCATAAAACTGATTTAATGTCGTCTTCTCTGAACTAAAAATTAAAAAGACTATATTCTAACGATTTCCACAGCCATGGCCGCAGCGCTCGGCCTCCTAGCCTAGTCTAGCCTCAGCGCACGGCCCACTTGCCTGTCCTAGTCGCAGTGCTCGGCCCCCTAGCCCGTCCTAGCTGCAGCGCTCGGCCCCCTCCGTAGCCTGCGGCGCAACCTAACTTACCCTAAATTAATGGTAAAATAATTATTAAGATATTTTTTTTAATGAGAGAAGACAACATTGAATTAGTTTTGTGAGTCCGTTTTCTGAGGCATTTCCGTGTTGAGGCGTTTCCATGTCACCGAAATACGATACACTTAGGGAGGCTAGCTGAAATATATTCCAAATAAGGTTTTAATTAAATTTGAGGTTAAAATAAAAACCTAGAAACCTCCAAAAATATTCTACTGAAAGGGACTGTAAGCGTAATTTCAAGTGACCCTCTATAATCTATGCAAATATGGCAACGGCCGATTTACAATACAACGGCACCCTTGAAACTTTTAATTAAAATATTCTTTCAGAATTTGCTTTATTTCACTAGTTCCAATAACTTTTCTGCGAGCATATAATCACATTATCTTTATATTTTCCTGAATGTTTTTGTTTAGTTTATCTCTCTGGGATTTAATAAGTGGTTCATCTAGGATCTCAAAGGGGAGCTCCATCTTAATCTGCAAAACGTTTTAAGCATAACTTCTCAAGTTTTTTCTAACTCTCATCTGGTATTTCTTCAACCGGCTTGAATAGTTTGCTAAAAACCCATGGTACTCTAGGTTTGTAAAACTAAAGAGTTTTCGCATAAGGACTTTATCAGCATGCCACCAAATGCAGGTAATCTAAAAGACGATTTTTAGCCATGATCTAAACGCTTGAAACTATCGATCAATCTAGGCAAATCGTCCCTTTTTTCGTACAAATGACAGTTTTAAATAAAAAGTCAATTTGAAAGAAAATTTGATAAATTACAAATGATTATTTATGTCAGCGTTCAATCAAAAGTTTCTTCAGGTTTCATTTTATGGACACGTCTCTTGTGCTGTCGCAGATTACTTGCAGAGGTTGATGCATGATCACATAAATTACAGGGATATCTTATCTTTTCATGAGCACTTTCAATGTGAGCTTTTAAAAACTTGGCAAGTTTAGCAGAGTAATCACACTGATTGCAAAAGAATGAAGGAGGTTCATGTTGAGTTGTTTTATGAATTTTGACATGAGCTAAACTTCCTCCAACATAGTTACACTGATCACAGGGAAAATTCACTCCTTCATGTTTAAAGTCTATGTGTTTTTGCAGTAATTGTGGACGATTTGTGACATACTCACATTTATCACACATCAATGTTTTCGAATCATGTCTACCCATGATGTGTGACATTAAAAGTGATTTTGATTTACCAACATAATCACACTGGTCACAAATAAAGTTAACTCCTGAATGACAGTTTTTAAGATGAGCCTTTAATAGTGATTCAGATTTTCCTATATAATCACACTGTTCACATTTGACCTCAGTATAATGAGAACTTTGCATGTGTATTCTCAAGTTTGCAGCTGAGTCTCCGATAAATTCACATTTCTTACATGGTCGCCTGGTTTTCTTTTTACATTTGAAATCCCCTTGTGATTCAACTAATACCCCGCATTCTAGAACATCTGGATTTTTATCTGAGTGAGATATCCTTAAATGTTTTTTAAATTTTTCTCTACTTCCAACATAAGCACAGAATTTACAAGAGTATTTATAACGTCCATGAATCTCCCGCTGATGTCTTCTTAATCCTTTTAAGCTTTTATATGAGAGTTTACAAGGTTCACAGCGTTGAATAGTCTTGACGTTCTTATGTTTTTTGATTTGATGACGACGAAGAGCTTGTTCACTTCGTGCAACATATTCACAACTTTCACAGGGATTCCCACAACCTTAAAAAGTATTTTTTTAAATAAGAATAACATATTTTTTGCAAATTATTTAAAGCAGAAGTTATTACTAAAATAATTTAACCAAGCAAACAAAAATAATTAAAAAATGTGCTTTGTAAAAATGAGGCCATTTTTAAGATTTTTAAACATCATCTATAATAGTAAGATTTACCTTTTGTATCCATTTCCTCCTCTTTCACAATTAAGTTGGAAGGATTTACTAAAGTACCAGGATTAAACTCATTCACATCCTTGAATTCAGGAAGAACCGCGGTTTCTGTGAAACGAGTTTTTGAATCAAGAAGACAGAGTTTTTCCGGGAAATTTTCTTCCCCAGCTTCCATTAGATTATCTATTTCATCGACATCGATTTTAATTTCCAGACAGGAAAGAGTTTGATCAAGTACAGGGGGCGTAATATCAGATATTGAACTGGTTTGCTCTCCTGAAATAGAAAATATACCCATATTAGAGGAACTTTGGACGAAGTTTTAAGTAACCATTTATTTATAAAGAGGCATGTTGGATTCGCAGAGGGGGTCTTAGTAAATTAGAATGATTTTCAATAAATAAGATAACCTTGATTTTTTTCTTCAAAAACTGATTATTTTCCATTGTGGATTTTCAACCGATCAAACGAGCTGAAAAACGACAGTATCTTCCACAACTATTTAATCAAATAAAGGCAGCAAGGTAACCGTTAGAAATGGGGTTTATCCAGCATCCTATGACTCTTGAAGGTACCACAAAAAATACGTTTATAAGTTGATGGTTACTTTTATTATTCTGCTTTAATGAGTGATAAACAGAAAAAAAAGCTGTGAATAAGGTATTATATTTCCTTAACAATCAAATGAAGCTTTTCTATTTAAAGTGAAAATAAGCGTAATTTTTGAACTCGGCACCAGTACACAGTACACACTTAGAATTTCAGCTAAATTCAAACGGGTTTCGATAAGTCTGCGCACAGATATCTCTTTACTAGACAAACACACAAAGGTTTTCAGGGAACTGTTCTAAATCTGGCAGTTTTCTCTTTGCATGGAGGGTCACTTGAAATTACGCTTACAGTCCCTTTAAGTTATCCAAACATGAATGAATGGTTTAGTTAGTTATGTACCTGTTTCTAAATTTGTGAAAAGAGGACACCGCCTCATCCATTGAAATCCCAGCTGATTTACTGAACTGATCAGAGCAATTTGGAGGCGCCCAGCATTAACAATTACATCCTTCTTTTCATTTTCAGTTGGAAAACAGTTTAACTGTTTCATGAGGAGTAAGTTGTCCTCCAAACTAAACTGGAGTTTAAGAAGATCAACCATTATATTCTTAAGAACTTCATTGTCTTCAGATTTGGAATTCAAGTCCTCAGAAATAATAATAATAATAATCGCTGTCAAACCTTTAATCTAGGTTAAAGATATCAAACTTTTTATAGAAAATGCGCAGATTGGAACATAAAAATCCGTGAAAGTTTGATTTCAGAAACAACAGTTTGAGCTAACTTTGAAATAAGGAAAATGGCCAGAAGTGTCATAAAAGCCTAAGATTTAACTAATTTTTTTAAGGAAAGTTTATTAGACTTGTTGCTGTATTATCTTTATTTTCCCTGGATATTTTTGTTTAGTTTAGCTCTCTCAGCACCAAGCTTCTGTTGATCTTGAACTTCAAACGGAAGCTCCATTTTAGTCTAAATATCATAAAAATGACATTTAAACAGAATATAAAAACACTTCGTCTTAAAGTATCTTGAATAAAAATTCTAGTTATAAAGAACAACATATATCATTCAACTGGGAATTGAAAAATATCTTCATTTGATAATTTTTTTTATTATTAAAGGGACTGTAAACGTAATTTCAAATTGCAAGCAAAGTTGGGATTGTCCGATTTACAACGGTACCCTTGAAACCTTTATCTGATCATTAATGTGGAAGATATTGTAGTTTTTCTATGTTTAACTGTGTTTAGTTCCTACAGGTTTTCCAGCAGTAGAAATGCGCAAGTCACTTATGCAAAGAACTCGCAAATGAAAATAAACAATTTTCAAAATTATAAATATTTAAATCTAAGTCATACTTGCTCAGACAAACCTTTTAAAGCTACCGATGTAATTCGGGCATTGCCATCTCTGCATGAATGGTCACGTAAATTCTCGTTCACGGTCCTTTAGTAAAGAAAAATATCAGACAGATCTGAAAGGCAACCCGACATGGAAACTCCAGTCCGCCATCAGGAAGCAATGGATTTTCAAGAACACATTAATTCAGTTCATCATTACAACATTATAAATAAATTGGGAGACTCTTAGTCACACATTTCTTCTGGTTTCAATTTATGAACACGCCTTTTGTGCTGTCTTAAATTACTAGAGGAGGTTGATGCATGATCACATAAATTACAGGGATATCTTATCTTCTCATGAGCACTTTCAATGTGGGCTTTTAAATGCTTGGGGATAGCTGCAGCATAATCACACAACTTGCAAAACAACGAAGGTGGTTCATGTTGAGTAGTTATGTGACGCTTCAGAGTATTCATATTTCCTCCTACATAGTTACACTGATCACATGGGAAGTTAACTCCATTGTGTTTAAAGTTGATGTGCTTTTGTAGTGCTCCTGGCCAGGTAGTAACATACTCACATTTGTCACACATAAATGTTTTAGGATCATGAATTCCGTTAACATGTGACATCAGAAGTGCTTTAGATTTCCCAACATAATTGCACTGATCACAAAGAAATTGAACTCCTGAATGCCATTTCTTTTGATGAATCTTTAGTAGTGAATCTGATTTTCCAACATAATCACACTGATCACATTTTGCCTCAGTAAAATGAAACTTACGCATGTGTTTTCTCAGGGTTAATATGGAATCTGTTACGAAATCACATTGCTTACATAACCGGTTTGTTTTCTTTCGACCTTTCTCATCCTCATGTGTTTCCATGAGAGTTCCACATTCTTCAACAGATTGATTTTTGTCAGGGTGAGATTTCTTCAGATGAATTGTGAATTTTGCTTTGGTTCCAAGATAAGAGCAGAGTGTACAAGAATATTTAAACCGTCCATGGATTTCTCTCTGATGTCTTCTTAGACCATGTCTGTCTTTATATGAGATGTTACAAGGTTCACAGCGATGAACGGTCTTCAGATTGTTATGCTTCCTATTTTTGTGTCTAATAAGACCTACTTCGCTTGGTGCTACATACTCACAATTGTAACAACGATACCAAGAACCTTCGAAATAAAATTATATTAAATTTATGCTTGTGTTTTGTAGAATATTCTTTTTAAAACAAAAATGAAATTTGGATTTTTAGGTAAAAACTATATTGTACAGAATATAATCATTATGCATAAAAGATGATAAATTTTCCAAACAAGTCATCTTTACCTTTCATATCTGTTTCCTCGTCTTTCACAGTAGTTCCGGCACTACTCTTTGGATATCTAGGAGGTAATTCTGTTGAATACAAATTCAATGTGTATTGTTTCGTTTCCTTTTTAGAAATTTTAGAATCAAGCGGAAGGTTATTTTCCTCAGGATTATCCATTTCATCCACATCAAATTTTATTTCCAGACAGGAAAGAGTTTGATCGTGCAATAAAGGAACGTCAAAACTTGTTTTCTTCCCTAAAATATTTGTAATATCTAGATTAAAGTGCTGAAGGAAAATCCAGTAGACATTTTATAACTTTAATTGATAATGAATTCTTAAATTGAGCAAATTGTCAGCATAGGATTAAAAGAAATAAAAAAGTGAGACCGCGATCAAAGATTTTATTTTCCACCAAATCAAATGACTGAATCAAACAAATCAGATTAGGTACCTGTGTCTGAACTTGAGAAAAGGGGGCAGTGACTCATCCATTGAAATCCCAGCTGATTTACTGAACTGATCAGAGCAATTTGGAGGCGCCCAGCATTAACAATTACATCCTTCTTCTCATTCTCAGTTGGAAAACAGTTTAACTGTTTCATGAGGAGTAAGTTGTCCTCCAAACTGAACTGGAGTTTAAGAAGATCAATCATTATATTCTTGAGAACTTCATTGTCTTCAGATTTAGAATTCAAGTCCTTGGAGAAAAATATAGATAGAATTAATGCTTTAACAGAAATTTAAATTATTCTTATATTAGAAATGATAAAACCACCATTTTAATGTAATGATGGTAGAGTAAGAAGTTTACCGCCTTGGATAAGAATGTTCCTTATAATGTCTACTAAGCCTACATCAAATAAGCTAATTTAAAAGCTGTACTCTGCGCTTACTAGACAAACAGTTTACTTGAGTAGACAGGGTTACCCAAAGATGAAACTTCAGAAAGGACTGTAGCTAATTTGATTTTATCATAAATTCTCTTTTCGCTAAAACTTTAAGATGTCCCTTTCTTTGAATTATCATTAATTACATCAATTAAAAATCTATAGACAAGATCGGTATAATTTTATAGTTTTAGGTTATTATTAAAGTCTTATCTAAGATTTGTTATTTTTGTAATTTCAAAATGTTCGAAAGGCACGGCTGGCAGAAAAATGAACAAAAAAACTACGATAGACTGGCGCGATCAAAACTATCTATTTTCCTGAATATTTTTGTTTAATTTAGCTCTCTCAGCATCAAGCTGTGTCTGGTCTAGAAGTTCGAACGGAAGCTCCATTTTTATCTGAAAATGAAATTTCGTTTAGAACGTAAAATCAATAGACCTCTTGTCTGAATAATTTTGTTAGAAACAACGACATTTAATGTTTATAGTAACACTGAGATCAGAAGTTATTTACTACTTTTGGTCTCAGATCAATTATATACTTAATCTTCATTTTAAAGTTCAATAGGACAATAGTTCTTTGAACAAATATTTGTCCAAATGAACTAATTTTTTAAATTTTTTTTTAAATGAATAAATGTATATTGTAATTAGTTGGTTTAAACATAATAAATTTATATTTAATTGATATACGCATGTGTTGAAATGGACTTAGAACCGGTTTGTGATATTCTGGCTTTAGTGGTGTTTAACGTTAGTTTAATCGGCAAGTAGTCCAATCGATATAGGATCTTTTTTGGATATAGTACAGAAAACTCAAAAAACCGTTTTTCAAGTAAGAGAGACCTTCCCGTTTCTGTATATTAATCCTAAATGGCGCGCAAAATTGCAATTTTCCCGGCTTTTGATACGCGACTTTGATTGGTTGAATTTAATACACTTTTAGGATACAAGTACAAGATTAAGTTAGTCTCGAGATTAAGAAAAAGAGAGGGTCACTAATTTATTTCGATATCCACCATTTTAAAGTTCCAAGCTCTGGTTTAAGAAATATTTCCAGAAAAAACATCTTTTGATGGATAAAATCAGGAACTTTCAATCAAATGTTTCTTCAGGTTTCAATTTATGGACACGTCTCTTATGCTGCCTAAGATTTCCTTGTGATGTCGATGCATGATCACATAAATTACAGGGATATCTTATCTTCTCGTGAGCACTCTCAATATGTGCTTGCAAAAACCTTGGAATTGTTGCAGCATAATCACACAACTTGCAAAACAACGTTGGTGCTTCGTGTTGAGTAGTTTTATGAACTTTGAGATGGGCCATATTTTCCGCAACATAGTTACACTGATCACATGGAAAGTTAACTCCATTGTGTTTGAAGTTGATGTGTTTTGGCAGTCTGCTTGGCCAAGTAGTGACATATTCACACTGATCACACATGTATGTTTTGGTGTCATGAATTCCCTTAACATGTGACATCAGAAGTGCTTTTGATTTCCCAACATAACTACACTGATCACAAAGAAATTGAACTCCTGAATGCCATTTCTTTTGATGAATCTTTAGTAGTGAATCTGATTTTCCCACATAATCACACTGATCACATTTTGCCTCAGTAAAATGAAACTTACGCATGTGTTTCCTAATTGTTGAATAAGAATCTGCTATAAAATCACATTGTTTGCATGGCCGGCTAATTTCCTTTCGAGCTTTAACATCATCATGTGTTTCTACTAAAGTTCCAGATTCTTCAACTGATAGATTTGCGTCAGGGTGTAATTTCTTTAAATGCTTTGTAAACTTCACTTTAGTTCCAAAATAAGAGCAGAATTTACAAGAATATTTAAAGCGTCCATGCATTTCTCGCTCATGTCTTCTTANGGGGAGAAAGTGTTTAAAATACATGTGGCGATAGAAAGTATGTGAGGTTGCTGTAGTGTGGCGATGAGGAACATGATCGATGATGAATTTAACAGCTTAAACTGTATTTAATGAAATGTGAGAATGGATGTCAAGGATCAAGTATGTCGTAAGTCGTGGAATAGAGAGCAGAGAATAGAGAAGGGCAGTGGTAAAATTATTGAAGTTTTATTTCAATACACATTTTAGAAGCGATAAATCAAAATTTCTCGTTTAAATCGACGATATATAAAAACCGTTAATTCGATTTTTTCTCAAGTTTCAAATTAACGGATCAGCCCAAATTTTTCTGAGAACCCACGAAAGAAAACAGAAAAGTCTGAAAAATTTGTAATTGTTAGCATTACAAAATATTCGTAAGGCTAGCAGACCAATCAGCAACGAGCCTAATAATCTATATTTTCCTGAATATTTTTATTTAATTTAGCTCTCTCAGCATCCAGCTGGGATTGGTCCAGAACCTCAAACGGAAGCTCCATTTTTATCTGTAAACATAAAAAAAAAATTTCAGAACGTGAAAAAAATTTTAACCAATCAAAATTAGTATCAATAGATAAAATTTAATGTCCCGGGTAGGTCTGTTGAAAGAAAAACATTGAGAAAATACAACTTTTCAGAACTCTTTTGGATTTTTAATTAAATATATCTTCAAGTTTCAATTTATAAACATGTCTCCTACTGTCTTAAAGCTTGTGATATTTATGCTAGTCGGGAAAAAAATATTATTTATCAAGAGCTAGAGAGGGGGTGGGGGGGTGTTTGGTGATATTTCAACAACAAAAAACTGGGATCTTACTTGAAAATCACACATTTTTATTATATCTTTATAGGAGTTATTTTTTCGTAAGTTTCTTCAGGTTTCAGTTTATGAACACGTCTTTTATGCTGCCGTAAATTACTTGCAGAGGTTGACGCATGATCACATAAATTACAAGGATATCTTATCTTCTCATGAGCACTCTCAATATGGGCTTTTAAAAACAAAGGAAGTGTTGCAGCATAATCACACAATTGGCAAAACAACGAAGGTGGTTCGTGTTGTGTGGTTTTGTGATCCTTGAGACGGCCCATATGGTCTGCGACATAGTTACACTGATCACATGGAAAGTTAACTCCATTGTGTTTGAAGTTGATGTGTTTTGGCAGTCTGCTTGGCCAAGTAGTGACATATTCACACTGATCACACATGTAAGTTTGGGATGTCATCCATTTCATCNCTTGTGAAAAGGGGACACCGACTCATCCATTGAAACCCCAGCTGATTTACAGAACTGATCAGAGCAATTTGGAGGCGCCCAGCATTAACAATTACATCCTTCTTCTCATTCTCAGTTGGAAAACAGTTTAACTGTTTCATGAGGAGTAAGTTGTCCTCCAAACTGAACTGAAGTTTAAGAAGATCAACCATTATATTCTTAAGAACTTCATTGTCTTCAGATTTGGAATTCAAGTCCTTGAAGAAAAATATAGATAAAACCATTTTTATTGATTGATTTTAATTTTGTGCTTTGAAACCAGTAATTTCAGATAAAACAAATGATCCAAAAAAAAGTAGTTTTTGTAGGATAAGCATTAAATACTGTTTTTAAATGAAATTTAATAGTCATTAAAGTTTAGATTTTAAAGTTCCTTTTGCTTTAAGATTGATTTTTTTTGTTGAGAATGAGTTTCGTGTGTTTAAAGTTTGTATAACCTACATAGATTGTAATTTCATTCTCAAGAAGTGTGCATTAAATTATTGTTATTATTAAAGCCAAAAGTACTCCTCCTTGTTGGGGGGCGGGGGGGGGGGTAAAAATGTACACATAATAGGAATGTTGATAAAGAGCTTTGAAAGTGGGGATGAGGAATACTTAATGATAAATATATTTAAGTATAAAAATTGCGATTTAAAAGTTTTCAGGAAAATCTGTAAAAATTGTAATAAATATTAAAAATATTCGAAAGGCTAGCAAACCAAGTCAAGTTAGTAGTTATCTATATTTTCCTGAATATTTTTGCTTAATTTAGCTCTCTGAATATCAAGCTGTGCCTGGTCCAGAACCTCAAACGGAAGCTCCATTTTAATCTGTAAACATAAAAATTAAAATTTGTTCAGAACATATAAATGTCAGAACCAAACAAAAACAAAACAAAAAAGTATTAAATTTAATTTTCAGAAAACATAATTTTTGGAACATTTAATCAAATGCATCTTCAGGTTTCAATTTATGGATACGTTTCTTATGCTGCCTAAGATTTCCTTGGGATGTCGATGCATGATCACATAAATTACAGGGATATCTTATCTTCTCGTGAGCACTCTCAATGTGGGCTTACAATAGCACAGGTAGTGTTGCAGCATAATCACACAACTTGCAAAGCAACGAAGGTGGTTCGTGTTGAGAAGTTTTGTGAACTTTGAGATGGGCCATATTTTCTGCAACATAGTTACACTGATCACATGGAAAGTTAACTCCATTGTGTTTGAAGTTGATGTGTTTTGGCAGTCTGCTTGGCCAAGTTGTGACATATTCACACTGATCACACATGTAAGTTTGGGTGTCATGAATTCCCTTAACATGTGACATCAGAAGTGCTTTTGATTTCCCAACATAACTACACTGATCACAAAGAAATTGAACTCCTGAATGCCATTTCTTTTGATGAATCTTTAGTAGTGAATCTGATTTTCCAACATAATCACACTGATCACATTTTGCCTCAGTAAAATGAAACTTACGCATGTGTTTCCTAATTGTTGAATAAGAATCTGNAGTGTGCTTGACCAATTTGTAACATATTCACACTTGTCACACATGAATGTTTGACCGTCATGGGCTCCCCTTATGTGCGCCTTCAAACGCTCTTTTGATTTACCAACATATTTGCACTGATCACACATAAAATGTATTCCTGAATGACAGTTATTCATATGATACTTTGAAGCTCTTTTATTCCTTCCAATAAAGCCACATTGATCACACTTCCCTCCACCATTTGTGTCATGTTTTAACAGTTTGTGTCTTTTGAGAGCTTTTGCATTGGACAAGACACGGTCACATTCATCACAAGGTTTCGGACCTACAACAAAAGTGGGTATAAATACTAACCAGTAACAAAGAAACCATCATTCCAAGAAAATCAAGTCCTAATCCTTTTTTATATGAATAAATAGCTGCAATAGTACAAAAGAAAGGGCAACTTTTACAGACATCAAGATTTAAATCACAATTGTGGAGTGGAGATATAATTTAGCCCCTGACACTGATCCATATCCTGGATTTTTAAAAAATAATGCACAATAAGTGATTGGTTCTTACGAGGCATGTTTTCTAAGCTTTGCAAAGAACCCGTGTCAAGTAAGACATTTTGTAATATCTCTTTCAATATTAATAGCAGCCGGTTCTATTTTTGAATGTAGACTCATATAACCCCCCTAAACAAAAGCCCTCGTACGCCCCTGGTTGAGACGTTTTATGTTCTTTGAGACGGCCCATATGGTCTGCGATATAATAACACTGGTCACATGGAAAAGTAATTCCATTGTGTTTTTTAAGTCGGCCTGACCAGGTAGTGACATATTCGCACTGGTCACACATAAATGTTTTGGTGTCATGAATTCCCTTAATGTGCTTCATCAGAAGTCCGTTTGATCTCCCAACATAACTGCACTGATCACAAAGAAATTGAACTCCTGAATGCCATTTCTTTTGATGAATCTTTAGTAGTGAATCTGATTTCCCTACATAATCACACTGATCACATTTTGAAACTTACGCATGTCTTTTCTCATGGTTGAATAAGAACCTGCTATAAAATCACGTTGCTTACATGGCCGGTTCTTTGACTTCCGACCTTTCACCTAGTATGCACATGTTTCCATGATAGTTCCACATTCTTCAACAGATAGATTTTTGTCAAGGTGAGATTTCTTAAGATAATTTGTAAATTTTTCTTTAGTTCCAAGATGATTGCAGAAATTACAAGAATATTTCAACTGTAAATGAATTTCTCTCTGATGTCTTCTTAAACCATTTCTGTCTTTATATGAGATGTTACAAGGTTCACAGCGATGAACAGTCTTTAAAAGATCGTTATGCTTCATGCTTATGTGTCGACTTAAACCTGCTTCGCTTGATGCTACATATTCACAATTGTCACAAGAATTACAAGAACCTTAATAGTAATATATTTTTAATTGAATTTTAAATTCTTTTTAAAACTAGGTAACTATATTTGAGAAAAGAATATGTATATTTACATCATATGGCCGAATTAACATAAAGAAAGAAGGCTATAACTACTTTTAACCTTTTCATAAGTGAAGTAAAAAGATAGTTTTTATTCTTTAAAATGTACCTTCATCTTTTCTTTCATGTGTTCTAGAGTTATGAAGCTTGAACTTGCATAGAGAAGCTCCTTTATAGTTACATAATTCACATTGATAACCATCTTCAAGAGAATCTGCATCTAAGAACAAAATTGTTGATGTCGGCTCTAAATGGCACAAAAATTAAGAAATTAAAGGGACTGTAAGCGTAATTTCAAGAGACCCTCCATGCAAAGATGTCAATGACCGTTTCTCAACGGTTCCATTGAAACATTTGTCTCACCAATGATGTGGAAGACATTGTCATTTCTAGGTTTAAAAATGCTTAATTCTGATAACTCCTACATTTTATCCAGCAGTAGAAATTTCATTTTCATACAGAAACCACAGTTGAACGCTCATTGCTATCTATGCCTGAATGGTCACTTGAAATAATGCTCACAGTACCTTTAAGACAAATCTGTCATGAAAAAATCTGTCATTTACAACATTAATTTTTAGCAAAATGTAAAAAATCTGAACTATGGGTATTTGTATTTGGTAAAATTCAACTCACATTTTGAATTGTCTTCTTCCTTCACATTAATTAAACAAATTGGTTCTTCAATCAAAGAAATGAATGCTGCATCTTGTTGAAGTAGTTCTTCATCAACTGGAGGACTAGGACTGTCAAGCAAGGAGTTTTGATTAGTTATGCCTTCATCCCTAACATGAATGTTTATTCTGGAAACAGAATCCTCTCCTTTCTTAATAGAAAGTTTGTTTGAAAGACTTTTGTCTTCACATAAGATGTTTTCATTTTCAATGGAAGACTTTTTTTCTTTTAAATGTATTCTTGCAAATGATGTGGCCATTATGAGCATTTAAAAAGCATCATCAGGTGCAAGTCGTTTTCGGTTTTTCGACAAAACCCTGATCAAGGTGGAGGTCAAATTTTAGTGATCCGTGTAAAGCACCAGAATTGGAGGCTGCATCCGAAATATCAGCCTTTTATCACAATTTTAAAACCAACTACAGTCTGTGAAAAATTCAGTGTTGAATTGCCCCCCCCCCCACTGATACTTCTTTATTTTCTTGAGATTCTTTTTTTTAATCCTACTTTGTTTACAATGCATATCACAGCTTTAGCTTTAACACATGTCTACATCAACTGTAGCAATATCCCTCTCTATTGTATCTTTTCATTCATTAATCCCCTAGGTTTTGGTGCACTGCACATTGCACAACTTTAAAATCTTTAAAGCTTCTAAAAATAATTTGTTTCTTTTGATACGTTAATGAAAGCACGTGACATGTTCGAGAAACGATGATAACAAATTTATAAACTCAACATGGCCAAATTGACAATTTTGGTGCTACAAACTTGTCCTTAATATCCTATTCAAAATTGTACAATTATCTCTGAAAATAAAAGGGTATTTTTTTGGACACTGCAATATCAAAATATAAACCGCTAGGATCTTACTTTTAAATCAAACATTTTTTACATTTTAATAGGATTTGTTTCTTCAAAGGTTTCTTCAGGTTTCATTTTATGAACACGTCTTTTATGTTGTCGCAGATTACTTGCAGAGGTTGATGCATGATCACACAGGTTACAAGGATATCTTATCTTCTCATGGGCACTTTCAATATGAGCTTGTAATAGCCTTGGAAGTGTTGCAGCATAATCACACAACTCACAAAAATATGTGGGTGGTTCGTGTTGAGTAGTTTTGTGAACTTTGAGATGGGCCATATTTTCTGCAACATAGTTACACTGATCACAAGGAAAGTTAACTCCATTGTGTTTAAATTTGATGTGTTTATTCAGTCTGCTTGACCAATTTGTAACATATTCACACTTGTCACACATGAATGTTTGACCGTCATGGGCTCCCCTTATGTGCGCCTTCAAACGCTCTTTTGATTTACCAACATATTTGCACTGATCACACATAAAATGTATTCCTGAATGACAGTTATTCATATGATACTTTGAAGCTCTTTTATTCCTTCCAATAAAGCCACATTGATCACACTTCCCTCCACCATTTGTGTCATGTTTTAACAGTTTGTGTCTTTTGAGAGCTTTTGCATTGGACAAGACACGGTCACATTCATCACAAGGTTTCGGACCTACAACAAAAGTGGGTATAAATACTAACCAGTAACAAAGAAACCATCATTCCAAGAAAATCAAGTCCTAATCCTTTTTTATATGAATAAATAGCTGCAATAGTACAAAAGAAAGGGCAACTTTTACAGACATCAAGATTTAAATCACAATTGTGGAGTGGAGATATAATTTAGCCCCTGACACTGATCCATATCCTGGATTTTTAAAAAATAATGCACAATAAGTGATTGGTTCTTACGAGGCATGTTTTCTAAGCTTTGCAAAGAACCCGTGTCAAGTAAGACATTTTGTAATATCTCTTTCAATATTAATAGCAGCCGGTTCTATTTTTGAATGTAGACTCATATAATTTGTTAGGAGCAGGATATGAAGTCAGATTGTCGATATCTCTCTCCGGAGTCTTGGAACCTCTGAAAAGTGACCTCCGTCGACCCCGATTTTATATCTCCGGCCTCGTTTGACATAAATAGCCCAATTTTAAAATATATACTCCCAATGACCCCTAAAATACACAAAAAAAAATTATTTTTTTAACAAGTTTTTGATGTCAAAACAGGGTGTCAAAAATTGCGTTTTTAAAATTTTTTTTTAATTGCAAAAAATGACAAGTTCTGATAAAAAATATCGGAGTAAAAGAAAAGAT